AAGAAGAAAGAAGGCCTTTGCATAGTGCAAAACAAGCTTTTATTCTATCAAGTCACTGAGATTTGGGGTTTGTGACTGTAGCATGGTCTACCAACAAGATACAGACAATTTCATGATAGTGGCTGCCTCCAAGGACGTAGGAAGAGAATGGAACTCAGAGAAGATGAAAAATGAATTCCATTAAACCTGTGGAATCTTTGTTCTTTTAAAAAATCTGAAGCAAATATGCAAAATACTAAGATTTATTAGTTATGGATGATGTGTGACTGAGCATTTTTATTCTTATATTTTCTGCATTTTAAATGTCTCTACCTATTAAAAATATTTTATATTTTATGATTTAAAGAAGATATTAATAATTTAAAAAGAATACATGAGTAGATATATAGACGATAGATAAAATGATAGATAGATGGACAGATAAATGGATATTGCTATAGACATAGACCAGATCCTAGTGCTCATCCAGACTTTTACTAGTCCTAAGCACAAGGGACTCATAGAAACTTCACATCATTGTCATCATCATCATCATCATCTGCAAGTGTATACATGTTATAATTTATAAGGTGCTTTCTTAATCTAATATTTCATTATACCTAGATAGCCAATCCTATAAGGTACTAAGAACAATGATTGTCATGACTTATATTTTTTTCAGATGAGGGAAATGAGGTTCAATAAATTTCAATGATTTGCAGAGGGTTATACAGATAATATGTTGTAAAACCAGGATTCAAATCTAACTTGTCCCCTTATCGGTCTATAGGAAAGAGTACGAGGGGGCAGGGGATGTGTTCACTACTCAGTCTTGCTGCAGTCCAATGGGTTGGGGAGGAAAAAGAAAGAAGATAACTGGATACACACATTGGGCCTCAGAGGTGGGGGTCTGCCTCGTGCACGGGATGCACTCTTCGTCCTGCAGGCCTCCAATGCGTGTCTTTTGGTAGAACCTGTAGTCAGAGCAACAAGGAATGGCATGGTGATGGAACAATCAGTGCCCCTGGATTGGTCCTTCTTGAGACCATAGGCAGCTTCCCGAAGTCTTGCCCTCCTGGAAGCCAGCACCCACCACCACCCCTTGTGAGTTCTCTGCCACTGTGTCTGACTCTGGCTCAGAGTCTCAAATAATCCACTTCTTGCCCCTTTACTCCACCCTATAGTCAAAAGGAGAACTAGTCTCATAAGAGAGGGGAGCACTACTTTGACCCCAACTGCTCCCTAATCTCTTGTAGGTCTACAATGAGATTTACCTTGAATCTTGGGCCTGAGCTAAGCATTCTGGCACGAAGATACAGCTGTTGATACTCATCTGTGGCTGACTATGTGCTAGGCACTTTAGAGGGGAAGCTTGGGAAGACACTGCTTCTCCTTGGGAGGAGTTTTGACTCATTGTGATATAGACACTTAGAATACTTCTGCTAAGCTCTGAGAGATTAGGTTGAGAAAGACCTCCAAGGGCTAGAGAAGGCCCAGAAGAGCCTGGCTTCATATGGCGGGCTCACCTGGGCAGACAGTCCCCACACACAGCATTAGAAGTAGCTGTGCAGTTGGCTTTCTGGATACGGTTGATGACGGCACAGGTGATGCAAATCTGACATCTATGATGGCCCCAGCTGCTTTTGTATCTGCGGGGAGGGCAGGCTGTGCAATGTGCATCTCCACCCTCTCCATAACCACAATCCTGCAGAGAAATGGGAGTCACGAACATTGCTCCACAGGAGCTGGAAGAGAGGATCAGCCACAGGACGAGTAGAGATCGCATAGGGTAATGTTTCATAAACTGCAAGCTGTAACCCATACCAAGTCATGAAATCAATTTTCTAGCTTGCAACCAGCATTGAAACTTGAAATAGGACAAAACAAAATGAAGATGTAAGAGAGCAGAGTGCAGAGAGTGTACAAAAGCTAGGTATTTACATAGGTCAACAGGGGCTAGATTATGCTGTGGCAAAAAGCAAACTCCAAATCTCAGTGTCGTAAAATAATAAAAGTTTATCTCTCGCACCGTTTGCCTCCCAGAGATTTCCTGGGGCTCTGCATTATATTATCCTCACTGGGTTACCCAGGGTGTCGGAGGCTTCATGTTTGTGCTACCATGCTTTGAGCATCAGGGAAAAGAGAATATTGTGAACTGTGTACTGGCTCTGCCCATTTCACTTTGCTCACATATCCTGACTACACACGTCACTTGATCATTAGTGACTACAAAAGTCCAACAAAGTGCAATTCTACAACATGCCAGAAGGTGGGGAGCTGGAAATATTTCATAAATAGCTTTAATCACTACCTACTTTTCAGTATTTTGTGAATCTTTTACAGATAAAATACATGTATGTGTTGGGTTATAATGAGAAATTTATTTCTTACTGTTGGTGAAAAATGTTTGAATGCCATTGATATACTGGAGAGATGAATGATCTAGCTGGCTCTTGTCTCAGGTCTGGTATTGACTCAGTGTGACTCTGGACAGTTCCTCTCCATTTTGGGTAATCAGAAGAGACTGAAATAGACAGTCTCTAAATATTCTTCCAGCTCTGACATTCTAACCTAGGAACAAGGCTTCTGGCCTGATATGTCATGGCTCATTATCAAAGACACAACTCTAGTTATCAATGGATATTAGCTATTTGGTAGTTGTGGCAGAAGCTGGCTGGTTGTTCAACAAATTCATTTTTCTTTCCTCCTGGAAATACCATAGCCCATAGTCCCTAACCCCACTTCAGTTAGGTGAGGCCATGCGCCTAATTTCTAGGCAATGGAATAAAATGATGTATGCCTCTCCCAGGCCTGTCTCCCCACCAAAAAGAATAGCCTGTTTTTAGCTTTATACTTATTTTGTATTTAAATATCCTTAATTTCCTTTATACTTTGACTTTTTTTGTGCATAGAGACACCTGCAAAGATGATGAAATCAATATATTAAAAATGAAGAGGTTATCAGGACAATGAAGGGGGTGGCAGCTCCAAGCTTTCATTCTCTCATGGAAACATAAAAGAGCAAGTAGAAACTGTCAGAAATCTTGGAAACAGTCAAAGGTTTACGGCAATGAAGCAAATGTTAAATCAAGAAAAAGGCAACTTGAAAATGTTAGGAAAGATTGTCATTCCTTACTTGCCCTTACCACAACCCTCTCCCTAAAGGAGCACCAGTCCCAAAGTGGAGGCAGTCTTGAAGTGGCATCAGCCAGTGTTCCTAGTGTGAGAGCCTTATCCCTAGTTGCAGAGTGAGTTGAGTAAAACCTAATCACAAATTATTGTGTACGTCCGTGCGATCTAAAGGAGTGATATCTCCATTTCGCTCAATTGAGAATGCAGACTGAAAACAGCTGGGCATTTGTTTTAAAATGTTACTAAGTAAACTAACAAACCACAGATGCCTAGGGTGACAAATTATGGGTGAAGATATACAATAGGCTGCCTAATCCTAGGAGCTAAAGCTGGGGGAGATTCTTTCAGAAATTAGGACATTTAAAAGCACCCAAGTATATGGGGGGATTTATAAAGGCACATGTATGCCTAGAGCTAGGCACATGCTTAGAAAAGACTGGAGAAGACCCAAAGCTTACAGATTGGGCTGATCCATAGTCTAAGTGCAATTTTGGCTAAGTGTTGAAGGAGAAGTTCAACGCAGAGCCAATCTGCAAAGACTGGGAGAGGTGTGTGTGTGTGTGTGTGTGTGTGTGTGTTGTTTTTCCTTTATTTTTATCTTTTTTTTTTTTTGGTTGTTGATATTGGGTTTTTAAGTCCTGGCACTCAAGGAAATCTCTATCAAAATATTAGCTGAACACAATCTAAATGAACACAGACTTCATTGACTACATGTGGCAAAGAATACAGTCTTTGAAAAAATAGTTTGGAAAAACACTTAAACAAATGGACTACTATAGCCTTTAACAAATAAAGTAAAAAAAAAAGCTAAATATAAGGAAGGGGGAAATCTAATTTCCAGAGTTACCACATTATAATAAAAAAGAATGACTAGTTTTCAACACCACCACCACCAAAATCACAAGGCATACAAAGAAACTGAAATGCACGGCACCTTTTAAAGGAGCAAATAAAACTGACAGAAACTGTTTCTGAGGAAGTCAAGAGATTGGACTTACTAGACAAAGACTAAAAGTACTGTCTTAAACATGTTCAAAGAAAAACATGAACAAAAAAGCTAAAGAAAATCAGAAAATAAGTGTATGAGCATAATGAGAAATCAATAAAGAAAAAAACGTAAAAAGAAATTGAACATAAATAATGGAGCTATAAAGTAAAATAACTGAAATGAAAAATTCACTATACTTGTTCAACAGCAGGTCTGAGCAGGAAGAAGAATGAAGGCAGCACAGTTCAAATTATCAAGAGGATAAAAAATAAAAGGTAATGAGGAAAGTAAACAAAACCCAAGAGACACTGTAAGGTGGACTAACATACACAATTTTGGAGTCCTAGAAGGAAAAGAGAGATATAGGAGAAGAAAGAATGTTTGAAGAAATAATGCTAAATACTTCCCAAATTTGGTGAAAGGAATATAAACATATCCATGATACTCAGTGAATTTCAAGTAATAAAAGTCAGGGACACATCCTGAGACATATTATAAACAAAACATGGATAACTAAAGACAAGGATAATATTTTGAAGCAGCAAGATAGAAACAATTTGTTAAGTCCAAGGAATCCTCAATAAGCTTAAAAGTCAATTTCTCTTCAGAAACTGTGGTGGCTAGAAGGCAATAAGGTGACATATTGAAGTATAAAAAGAAATAAAATGTTAACCAAGAATTCTATATGCAGCAAAAATATTCTTCAAAAATAGGGAGAAATGAAAACGTTCCTAAATAAACAAATGCTGAGGGAGTTTGATATCAGTATACTTGTACTACAAGAAATGCTAAAGGGAGTGCTTCAGGCTAAAATGAAAGGGCACTGGATAGTAAATCGAAGCTATACAAAGAAATAAATATCTCAGGTAAAGGTAAATACATGGACAAGTATGGAAGGCAGCATTATTGCATTTTTGGTTTTTAACTCCACCTTTTCCTATATGTAAAAGAAAATCGAATAATTATTATAAATATTTAATTGGGCACACAATGATTAAGGTAACAATAAAAGTGAAAACAATAATATAGAGAGAGGTGAGACGAAGCTGCAGAAGAATAAAGTTTTTGTACACTTTTGAAGTTAAATTGGTATCAATTCAAACTGCATTGTTAAAATTTAGAATGGAATTAAGTGGAATCTGCATGGTAATCATGAAGAAAATGTCTAAAAATATACACAAAAGAAATAAGGGAATTAAAACTTTTCGCAGCAAAAAAAATTATCTGGCACAAAAAATGCAATGATGTAGAAAATAAAGGACAGAAAATGGTATAAGACATATATAAAACAATTAACAAAATGTCAGAAGCATCTTCTTAAAGTATTACTTTTCATGCCAATGTTTTAAACTCTCCAAAGGCAGACTGACAGACTGGATTAAAAAAACAAAAAAACAAAAAAACAAAAAAAACATGTTAACCTAAATCCCCATCAACAGACTGGATAAAGAAGTTATGGTTCATATATACAATGGAATATTGCTCAGCCATTCAAAAAATTATATCCTACCACTTGCAATGACACGGATGGACCTAGAGGTTATGCTGAGTGAAATAAGTCAGACAGAGAAAGATAAATACCATAGGATTTCACTTACATGCAGAATCTAAGGAACAATAAGAACAAAGTAATCAAAAACAGAGTTACAAATACAGAGGACAATCTGGTGATGGTCATAGGGGAGAGGTTGGGAGGGTTGGGAGAATGGGGTGAAGGGTTAAAGAAGTACAAATCAGTGGTTGATAGATGGGGGAGCATGGCATAGGGAATGCAGTTAGCAGTAATGTAATGGCTAGGTGGAGAGCCAGAGGAGAGAAAGAGCAATCAAGAGGATCATTTCATAAACTATATATATGTCTAACCAATGTACTGTATACTTGAAACTAATAAATTAAAAAAAATGATCCACCTATATTCTGTCTAAAAGAGGTTCACTTTATAAACGAATACATAAGTAGATTGAAAGTGAAAGAATGAAAAAACATATTCCATGCAAATAGTACCAAAAAGAGACCCGGAGTGTCGATACGGATGTCAGACAAAACAAACTTTAAGTAAAACACTTCTACAAGAGACAAGGAAAGACATTATATATTAATAAAGGGTCAATACATCAAGAAAATATAACAAGTATGAACACATGCACATCAATAGCAGAGCCCCCAAATCCAGGAAGCCTTGACAGAATTTAAACGAGCAATAGCAGTTCTACAAAGCTAGCTGTAGACTTCAGTACATCACTTTCAATAACAGATTGAATATCTAGAGAGATCAATAATGATATAGAGGGCTTTAAAAACACTATAAACTAACTAAACATAACTGACATATGTAGAACACTATACTCAACAAAAGAAGAACACACTTTTTTCTCAATTGCACATGGAACGTTCTGTAGGACAGACTATGTGTTAGGTTACAAAACAGTCTCAATTAATTTTAAAAGGCTGAAATCATACAGTGTCTTTTTCTGACCATAAGAGAAGAAAGCTATAAATCAATAACAGAAGGAAAACTTGAAAATATACAAATATGTGGAAATCAAATACTATACTTTTAAACAATCAATGAATCAAAGAAAAAACCACAAGGGAAACTAGAAATTACTTAGAGAGCAATTAAAATAAAAACACAACATACCAAAATTTATAGGATACAGCAAAAGCAACCATACTCAGAGGGCTGATGAAACCCAAAGCTAACAGAAGAAAGGAAATAATAAAGATTAGAGTAGAGATAAATGAAATAGAGTAGAAAAAGAATAGAATAAATGAGATAAAAAGTTGATTCTTCATAAAGATCAACAAAATGGACAATCTTTTAGCTATACTGACAAAGAAAAATGCTCTGAGAGAAGATGCAAATGACTAAAATTAGAAATGAAAGTGGAGCTATACCTACCAACTTTAGAGAAATTAAACAAAAGGATTACAAAAGTTTTATGAACATTTGTATACCAATAAAGTTGATAATATATATTAAATGAACAAATTTTAAGAAATCCACAAATTATCTCAACTGACTCCAGAAGAAATAGACAATATCAACAGACTTATAAGAAATAGAGAGTCTGACTCAGTAATCATAAACCTCTCAATGAAGAAAAGTCCGGGACCAGATGGCATCATCGATGAATTCTACCAAGCATTTAAATGATTAACAGTGATCTTTCTCAAGGTCTTCCAAAAAGCGAAAGAAGAGGGAAATCTTCTTATTTGTTTTTTTAGCTCCTCACACTCAGTGAAATCTCTATCAAAATATTAGCTGAATGTAATCTAAATGAACACAGACTTCAAATTACACACTAATATCCCTTGTGATTCATGCAAAATTTTTAACAAAATCCTAGCATAGTGAATCCTATAGCATATTAAAAGGATTATATACCAAGTGGAATTTAGCAGAGAAATGCAAGGGTGATTTAACTTAAGAAAATCAAACAATGTAATAAAGCTCATTAGTAGAATGAAGGAAAAAAATGATCATTGTGATTGCCACAGAAAAGACATTTGTCAAAATCTAACACCAATTTCAAGATAAAAACTCTCAGAAAACTAGAAACACAAGGGAACTTTCTCGACATGAAAAAGATACATGTGAAAAAAGCCATCTAACATTATAGTCAATGGGAAAAGACCAATACCTTTTCTCCTGTGATCAGGAACAAGAACATGGTAAAAAAAACATGGCTACTTTTACTGCTGAAATTTGACTATACTGGAAGTCCTAATGGAGCTATTGTTAAGACAAGGAAAAGAAATAAAATGCATTCAAGTTGGAAAAGAAGAAGTAAAACTATATTTGCAGATGACATGATCTTATGTATAAAACACCTAAATGTCCCACATGAAAGCTACTCGAGCTAATAAAATGTTATAGGCTGAATTGCATCCCACCCCCAAACTCATATATTGAAGCTCTAACTCCTGGCACCTCAGAACATGACTTTATTTTGGAGACAGGGCCTTTAAAGAGACAACTAAGTTAAAATGGGATGGTTAAGGTGAGCCCAATTCAATATGCCTGGTGTCTTTATAAGGAGAGATTAGACAGAGAGAGAGAGAGAGAGAGAGAGAGAGAGAGAGAGAGAGAGACAGACCAAATGCAGACAAAGAGAGATGATCACGTGAACACACAGCAAGAAGGCAGACACCTATCAGCCAAGAGAGGCCTTAGAAGACACCAGTGCTGCCTAGGCCTTGATCTCATAATGCTAACCTCAAGAACTATGAGAAAATAAATTTATGTTGTTTGAGTCACACGAACTGTGGTATTTTGTTTTAGCGGCCCCAGCAAAGCAATACTTAATGAATTCAGAAAAGTTGTAGGGTACATGGTCAATACACAAAAATCAGTTGTGTTTCTATATGCCAGCACAAAAGAATCCAAAAAAAAAATTTAAAGGCAATTGCAATGTTGGTATGGACAGATGATCACTAGAATTAGTGGAGTGATCGCTCACATTGGAAGGTATAAAAATGTCGAA